CGCACGGAAACGGGTCAGTCCCTCTGCAAGGAAGCAAAGAGTAAGATTTTTGTTGTTGTTGTGGGTTTTTGCGCTGATTTTTATCTTGTAAGGCGCTGATGGAGCGCTTACACTTCTCTAGGAAGTGTAAGCAAGTAGCCTTTAATAATAATAATAATAATAAACAGGGATTTCCTGGGAGCAGGAGCAGCGTATGAGCAATGGGTGCTCTCAGCCTCTCCCGTGGGCAGCGGTGGAGGGGTCCAAGGCTGGTGGGGGAAACCAAACTCATGCTCTGCCCTGCAGCTGCCTCTTCTGCATCCCATAAAACCTTCCCCAAAGCTTTCAGCGGTGACGGCCCAAATAATAATTAAGTGCTGGAAGTGCCCCTGCCAGGTGGAAAAAAGGTGGAGGTGATCCTGGAGGATTATTGGAGGCCTTCGGTTGCGTGAGCGAAAGCTGGTTGCTGGAGGAATAGTTGTTCTGGCACGGGAGGTGGCCGGCAGCGATGCTCCGGGCTCTGCAGCCGACTGCCTCCGGAGCCAGTGGGGTTTTTTTTTGGGGGGGAAATGAGAATAAAGCAGCAAGGGGATGTTCTTGGATGGGAAGTGGTGCAGCGCTGGCTTGGTGTAGCCGGGAAGGTGGTTTTGGGGGTGAGCAGGAGTGGAACAGGGATCAGTTCATGCATGGGGATGGTGTGCTGCGGGAGCGCTCCCCGTAAAGTCACCCGAGACAAGAAGCCCACCCTTTGGTGGGATCGTGTGGATCTTGTGAGTATTTCCAGTCTTTGGCTCTTAGTGGGAGCTGGTTGTTCCGTTTGGTTGGGTTTTTTTGTCCAAAAGACGTGGGATTTCGGGGTTTGCACATGAGTTTTTGGGATGTGTTTGGAGCAGGCGCGTGCAAGTGCTCTGTAAATGAGTTTTCCCGGTGTTTTCCTGCGCTGTGGGAGAGGGGGAGAAGCCCTGTGAACCTCTCCTCGCCGGTGAAGGAGATTCTGCGGGGAATTTAAGGGGGGAAACCTTGAGCTGGGAAGCCGGCGGGGTCGTTCCCATCGCTCTCGTTTCGGAGCTGCTGCCGTTTGCTCCGCGAGCTTTGCGCGTGGTCGCGCCGAAGCCGTTCTCCGAGGTTTTCTCCAGGAGGTTTGGATGCCCAAGCCCAGGAGGTGGAGATGAAATTCGGGGTTGAGTTGGTTTTGGGTTTTTTTTGCCTCTAAGTGGAGACCACAGTGGCATCACCACACTGGTCCCCAGCTGGAGCATCCCGTGGGCTCAAGCGGGATGTGGACGTCCCGGGGGTGCCTCTGGGTTTGTCCCGGGCCCCGCAGCAGCCGTCCCGCTGCCGTCAGCTCGCGGGATGACTTGGGGGGGGGCCCCGGAAGAGGCGCTGGCGG